AAGAATATCTTTAATTTCTGTAACTTACTGTCTATTGTCATCATTAAAAAGGCTGCAATACCTTTTAATGTTTTCGTGATTACCATAAATTCACAATAGAACGTTAAGGATGGTCAAGTAAAATCAAGACTCTTCATTTGGAACCATTAAAAAAATAACCACGGGCAAAAACTGTATTCTGATGCTTTACTTTCATGCTAAACAATTCAGATTCACAAGTGGGAAAAAAAAAACTGCTACAATAAGATTAAGTTCCAGACACCAGTAAACTCCAAGGGTAACTCTAACCAAAATAAACTTAACAATGACAAAGACAAGCAAGGCACCCTGGAGCCTTGAAAATGGCAAAAGCAAAAATATATTTATGGTTGGTGGAAAATAGACATGTATCTTAAAATGGTTCAATCCCTGTGTGGCAGAATATGAGAGGATCTCGAGTCATGCCTGTCTAGTTACATCATGGGCCTTGGCCATCATAAAAGACACCCCCACGCAAAAAAATAAAAAAATAAAAAAAATCACTAGCCAAGAGTGCCAACTGTTTGCTTGCAGTAACAGTAGGCTACTTGCACAACAAAGGTGGGGATAAATGCCCACTCCTGTTCAGCTTAGGAGACACACCTCAAAGTCAAGTGAAACAAAACTAACTTACCCACTGGAATAACATGACCCACAGTTCCCAGATTGCTGAGGATAAGGCCGCCTTTAAGCATAAAGAAGTCTCCGACACCAAGACCAGGCAGCGTGACTGCGAGGCTTGATGATTAAGAAGCGTCTCACAATTATCCTCAAATGATTAAAATAGCAGGCACGCCTTTAAACGCCTGACTTCAACGGGAAATGAACGGTACAGCAACTGGAGAGTGTGCCCTTAACCTGACTGTAAGACGTTTCATGTCATACATTAAGTGGTATGATTTTTATCTGACTTACACAAACATTCCTATTCCGGTTTAAAATAATAAAAGTAGGCGTTTAAGTTTACCCCGGTTTGGTGTGGGTGTTTGATACCAAGCTGTCGTGGACACACCAACCCGACGGAGGCATTACCGTCCACCATTACGCCTCCATAAAAAGGCTTTTCACGGTTGAGCTAATCTGACAAAGTTCTTAGATCAATGGCTCATAAAGCCATGCCCATCTGCCTTTGAAAAGGCACAGCAGGTTTAACCTCATTCGGTGGCAATACTGGTTATGATGTTCATAAACTTCAGTGACTCAACTTTGCCCAAAAGCAAAGCTGCCCATTTTCAACTAACCCACCAAACAACAACAAGCTATCGCATGCTAACGTTAACTTGGCTTGCCAACAACAACCTGTCCATCTGTCCGGCTACTAAACCAGCGGCTAACTATCACGAGCTAACAGCCCATTGTGATTATCATCAGTTTCAGAAATTAGAGGAAATAAGCTCAACCCTGCAGCCCTTGCTCCTTTGAATATTGTGGCAAAAGTGTGATTTTTGTAGCACCGAGGTCTGTGCAAATAGCGATACACGACAGACAATGAAACCGACCTCGTCTCAAGTGAGCAGCTAGTGTTACAAGGCTAGCTAAGGGAGCTAAGTTAGCCTGCTAACGCCATCTCCCCGGCCACTAGTCTGATGGCAGACAGTCGCTAAATTTATTCACAAACAATCGAGCGTTAATTACATACAGAAAATGACAGTTTTACCTCAGCGTTCTGCAGCTTCAACCTAGGTGAATAAACACACTCCCTTACATTATTTACTAATATCAGTGCATCCATGTACAAGTTTTGCTGGGAAGTTTGGTTAATATTTTTGTACTTTCGAAGCTGGTGCACTCAGTACGTAAGTGTGTGTGTATGTGTAGCTGAGCGACACACATACTATTACCTTGCACGTTAGCTGAGATCAAGCTACGCTAGCTAGCTTAACTTAGGTTAGCTGAGCTAACACCGAAAGAGAAACTTCCGTCGTCGTCATGTTTTAATTGAAAATTAAAAACCCTAAATTACGTTACATACTAATGAAATAGCGCTGCGCGAACTTACAGAGTCTAGGAGGATCTTGGCTGAATTCCCCCCGTAATTTTAAGTTGTCTGTTGCGACTGTTTAGCTGGCTTCAGTGTAAAAAATCCCGGGGATCCCCTCTCCTCTGTCCGCTGCCACTCCGGCTGCCAGATAATGTAATGAGCCACCACACAGGCGGCGTCATGCTGCGTTCATACACACCTCGGAAATGCTAAGAGCTCAGAGAGAAAGGAAATGATGCGTTTGAACACACTCCACTGACGTACTGCAAAAGAGGTGAAAGTAAAAGCAATTGCAACAGAATTATGGAATGAGAACTTTAAACAATCAGACCGACATAAAATCGGTGTATAGCAATAATTATAATAGGAAGAAAAAGAATTGCTTTGGCAATATTGCTTTTAGAAACATGCCATTAAGCATATTTGAAATGAGAAAAAGACTACCATTACTATCACAATCCACTTTCTGAGAACTGATTATATTATATCATGTTTTATGTATTGTTAAAAAAAGTTTGAGTCTATAGTTCCATGTAATGTTTCACTATTCCTGGAACGTTTCCTGAAGGTCATATTTTTCAGCAGCAAAACTCCCCAGAGGTCATCTGAAAGTCTAACAAAACAAAACCAAAGAAAAGAAAAGAAAAGAAAACGTTCTTGGAAGTTTACTTCCGTTCAACAGTTAAAACCCTTCGGGGAAGATTCGCAAAAGACTTTCTATTCTTCAGAGAATAAATAAAAATTATTCAGTAAATATTTTCTAAAGCTTTCACACACAAAAAGAGACAGCATGTCCCTAACATGTCCCTAACAAGGTTGAAAACGGTTTTACTTTCAGAGAAAATATTCTAAAAGTGATTTTATATTTCACAAAGATACCTTTAATAGTCAGCTTCTACAGTGGGATTCACAGCAAAAACAGATTGTGCCATCCTTTTTATGGTGAGTCTGAACAGATATAGGTGTTTCACTATACACGCTAGTTCCTGCTCTTTCAGACTGCTCATTTCTGAGGTTCTTCTGGGTTAGCCAATTGCTGAAGTACAGTCCAGAGGCAGAAGCACATCATGTGACAAAGATTACCCAGGCTACTAATCTACTGCCATAAGCTTTGGAGCTGTTGTGTGAGTTTATAATGGTATCCCCTTTAACTGTAAGCATGCAGGCCTGTTTAAACTGACCTCATAATAATCCCCTCTGACTGTCATTTCATCTGTGGGATAATAGTGACCACAATGTGTTTTTTTCCAAGTTTATCACTATTTGCAGCAAAAGAGTCACAGAAGCAGCCACCTTGTCTTGTCACACTTTTTTGTATTAACTAATTAAACAGGTGCAGGAAGAGATGTAGGTACAAAGGTCCTTACAAGTTGGATAGCTACACATTTAATCCTAGTTAAAGTCAAGCATTTGTCATGCTTTGAATTTGTGCTTTGAAAATCCCAAAGGATAGATACATGAGTAAGATTATACTTAGCTACACACAGGCCTCATAACTTGTTAAAAAGACACTTCTGAGAGGTGCAAATGAAAAATTTTCCAGTGAGATTGCAGGAGCCATATTCAGTCTTATAGTCAGACAAAAAAGGAGTGGCAGTTTTAGTTTAGAAATTTGGGAAAATGTTTATAAGAATTATTTTAGGTAAAAGTGCTAAAAGCTACATTTGATTTTTTTAAACTCTGAAATTACATTGAACGAAAACCTTAGCACCATCGAAGGGTTAGTAATAAAACAGACTAACACCAACTCTTACCACTACAACAAACTATAGGTAACACTGAGAAATTATTGTTCTGGGAAAGCATTTATTACATGGCATGTCATGTGGATGTTACTTTGACACCTTGCACCCTAAACATTGGTGTAGAGCAAGCACCCTCACCATAAACCCAGCACACTGCAAAAAGTACTTAGGAAAGTTTTAAGGAAGAATAAAACAAGTCCAAGGTGTGGATTGAGTAGTTGACTGAGGAGCCAACTGATGAGCCCAAACCAAGGATGATCCAGAGAAATTACGCTCACATCCCAGTGTGTCATAAGTAACTATCAAAGCTGCACCAGGGGGAACTACACAAAATTAGAGAAGTGGTTTTGACATTGTGGGTGATTGGGTGTATGTGGCACAAGGCCTAGCTTTGCTTCCTACTACCTAAAAGCATATAAAATATGCAAACAATGCATGACCATTCAATACAATTAACTCTAGCACACCCAGCACTTCTAGCAGCATAAGTCAATGAATGTAATGTCTACAAAGTGAGGTAAAACAGTCAATTACAAAATTTCAATCATATTTTTATTGGAAAATTATTGAAAACAATGTAAGAATTAAAAACATAGGAACTGGATAGAACATAGCAAGTACTCAAGCTTAAACTGTGTCCTTACAGAGTGCTTTAAATACCAAGCATCAAGATACCTACACAGGTTAGCTAAAATAATACATATCACACTTTACTAAATTGACTTTATAAAACGTCACTGTACAATAAAAGGTTCAACAAGTGGCAAATCTATACAAACATACTGTAAAGAAACCCCTTAGTGGAACTATCATGACAAATTAAAATAGAACAAAATAAAATAAATTCTTTTTTTGTGATATCTGAAGATTATTGAAGGCTCCAAAAGTTAAAACATGATTTGTAAAAAGTAATACATCTACAGGAATTTATATATTATGCAACTTCCAAAAATACATTGCTTAATGTGTGTTTTTTTTTTTTTTTTTAAACTGCACGTGGCAAACCTAGTGGCCACCAAATCACATAAGTATTTAAACACTGTTTGTTAACAGACCAAGCATCTTCTGCACAGTGGATTCTGCAGCAATGTATACTGTCAATTCTCAGAAGGAAACTTTTTCAAATTATTATCCTGTGAAAATAAATTACAAGGTTTCTATTTTTTATCTACTGTGGATTTTGTGCAAAAAAGTTATCTACCAAGAGTTTATTGTTAGCAGGTCAAAAACTATTATACAAGGAATCTGCATCAGTAACTTTCATGCAAGAAAAAACAAAAAACCCCAAAACAAAACAGTATTCATACAAAAAAGGCAAGATGTAAAATATTTACCAACAGTTACAAAAATAGCAAGATGAATAAATTAATTTCTTCTACATTTCTTTACTGCCCACATCTCTCCTCTTGTTTTTCCAGCAAATGGAAAAGAGTCCTGGCAAATGTAGTGAAGGGTAAAGAAGCCTTTTACCATGTGTCCTTCACTCCTTTAATCAACAGAGAGCATGAAATACCTGTACAACTGCAGTTGTAACTTTTCTACAATATTAAAAAATATAATAGCAGTCAATCAGGGAGAAATCTCCAGAAGCTGATAAAGTGAAGGCCCAAACTGTCATCTGTTAAAATCCTTTTAAGCTACAGTGGTCTGGATAGCGGTTTGGAAGGGATCAATTTGCTGCTTGTGATAATTTAGTATCAACAGTCACATGTTAGACAGGAGGTTCCTTATAACAGGCTTGCAAGGCTGGTGGTTGGACCGTTTTGGGCTTGGATCTGGACAGGAGGGGGGCCATCAGTCCACTGAAAGAGAGATGGAAGTAAACCGTTAATGCAGCCATACACCAAAGCGCCTAGCCTCAAAAAGGCCATTATGCGTCATATTCAAGGTCACCGTTTAAACGTTTTTGAAACAGATCTCTTGAAATATTTTATTATATAATAAAGGGACAAGAATTACATCATCTCAAAGACTTTTCTTTTTCCTGTATCTATCTAGAGCTTTCATGTTTACTGAAAGATCCAATAAACATACCAGGTTTTCCCTGGCTGAATAGCACAGCTCCTCAGCAAATCATCATCAAAAGATTATATTTTTCTTGAAAATTAAATGTAACACGCTAATCCGTGATTTTATATTTTACAACACATCAAGACTCAGACGAAAATGTTTGAATTTTAACCAGAGCAGTGGTCAGCGATCAGACTCAGCTTGACGAAAATAGCAAAATTTGTGCCTTCTTAAGTTCCTATTTAACATTTGAGAACTTCCAAGTTAGTTGGTATCATGACTCAAACAACGAGCAACAAGCCTATTGTTAACTAACATTAGCATAGCATTTTGGAAATGGTAATGGGTATTTTTGGCTTCCTGATAGTTCAACACCGCTTGCAGCCTTATTTGTAGCATTTCCCACACAAGAACCTTTAAACTGTGTCAGGCAACTGTCTCCATCTCTCTCTCATAGCACTGCAAAGACATGTAGATTTATGTCAGCCATGTGATCAATACGAGCTTCTCCTCATCTGTTTAGACTCAACTGCTAGTAAACAAGTGAGTCTAAACAGTATTAATTAAAATGTATTAATTATCAGCACTAACACTTGACCAGTTCTCCACTGGTTTTACTGAGACCACAAATCAGTTTCTCACTGGTGGATCTTAATGCATTTGATCCTTTTCTATTCAAAGCCTACCAAGCTAATAATTCAAAGCTGTAATCTGTGATTTGTCCACTGACTCGCCGATTTACCTTTTCAACTAATTCAGTCAAACCTACTGTTTATGTGCCATATTTCTGCAGACTGAGCGCACCCACATCCCTCGTGTTACATCACGACCAAGTTCTGATGCTTACAGATGCATTGTGCACGTTCTTTTTATTTCTGGCCAACAGATGAACAATAATAGAAATATTGAGCTTGAGCAAATTAACCAGATGTAAATACCAAATATTTTTATCATGGTGTTTGTCATTTTCCTTTAAGGCCATAATCTTGTTGATTTAGAGCTTCTTTTCTTTTTGGTGCAAGAAATTTTGATAAAATAATAATAACAACAGAGTGTGATAACAATAAACCTAGGACACCAAGTTGCTTTAACGTACACTGATGAGGTTATGCTCAGGAAGGCTGCAGGCAGCGATGTGGTCCTGTAGCAGCTGCTGGGAAAAGTTCTGGTGCATCTGGGCGGCTTCATGGGCATCCATGGTGTTCCCAAGAGCCTTGTTCAAATCTGCAAGCACAGCACATGGTCAAAACCTTTAAACAAAGCTTGTATTGTAAGAAACTGTGATAAACTCAAAAATGTTTTGAGACAAGTAGTCTACATGGATTAGACTGTCTGTGCAGCTCTAAAATAACAAATTATGTTTTACTGAGAAACAGGAAAAAGTCATTCTCTACCTTTCAACAGTGCTGAAGACCAGAGCTGAACTGACATGTCTGGGATCTTGCTGGCCAGCTGCATTGCAGGTACAACCA